AACAGCTAATCTAGCTGATATTTTTATTGGGTTAGTTAAATTAGCTGCAAATATTAATCGAGTTGAAAATTCTAATCCGTGAAAAAGAAATATTATTATTAATTTTAATCGATGATTTGATGAACTTGTAAATTCTGTTACAATTCTTGCATACTGGTTACATCCCTTATATAGAGATATGTATACAAAATTAGCTGAATTTTTTTTTTATATATATACGTATCATCGCTTAATAATATATATATTTTAGGTCGTGGCTTAAAAAGAACAGTATTGGATAAAATTTATGAAACAACTGCATTAATTTGGAATGATTTACATTATTCGGAAGAATCATGTACACAATTATTGGTAGAAATGCGAAGTTGGAAAAAAAAGGATGAACTTTACCATCTTTTCTATAATTCTACTTGTGAAACATTAATTAAATGGTGGTGTAGTATATATGTTGATGATGATCAAGATCAACTCCAACAATTGGCACTACGCTTATTCTTAATTGTTCCTTCACAAGCCGTCTGTAAAAGAAACTTTTCAATGCTTAAATAGTTTTATGGCAGTAAACGAATCCGACTTTGTCTTTCTTGAGTAGAAGATATGGCAAAAATACGCTCTTACTACCTTTCAAATTCTGATAAAAAACTTCAACTTTATGGCAAAGATTTAAATTATAAAGAGTTGTATGAAAGTATTAATATATCAATGGTTACATATGATTTACTTGAAACTTCAGACGAAAATACTAATAACGGTAGGACTAATAATTTAAATAATACTAATGAAAGCGAAGATTTAGAAAGTTTAACATTAAATATTGCAAATTCAGTAGATTTAGCGTTGCCAGAATTTTTAGCATCTAGAGATGCAATATTTTTTTCAGATTCTGTTACAACTAATTGGGCTAGAGATATAGGTAATATGAATTACAATCCTATTGAGTTAGCATGTCAAATGGTACAAGATGAAGAGGATTAAAAAATTTATTATATTAGTATTTGAATAATGCATGTAATAAATTTTTTTTTCATATAATAAATATAAGGTTTTCGCAATTGAAAAGTATAAAATGATATTAAGTTCAATTATTCGTTACAGATCTATGTTTAAGATTGGTAGTTTCAAAACCTAAAATTTACAACTATTAAAATTTTTTTTTGTCTTTATAGAAATATAATAATAGGAACACAGTGACTTCTCTTGCAACTAGGCTTTATACACTTGAAGACTAAAAATTAGTATTATAAATAAAAGTTGAATAAAGTTCAGGTGAAGTAGTTTTAAAATAGTCCCAAATTAAGGTCATAATTCTAAACGAAACCGTAGATTAGCAGTATTTTGGATTTATAATAAAGAAATATATTATAAACACTTATTAGTATTCTATTTACTCTATTATACATGCAGATAAATGAAAACAAGAAAATCGTATCAATGAATCCAGATGCTAAAGGTGGCATAGGGTATACACTTATTACCAAGGTTTGATGCCAATATACTGTATGTGGATAGTTCTTGAAGGTGCCTAAAAGTGGTGGATTGAATAGACAAAATAACTGTATTAATAATAAAAAATATTTCAAGTTGGCTGTTGTTATCAAATTTGGTGAAAGAGTAAGTAATATAGATTGAATATTTAATCTTATCAAAAATAAAAAAAAATTGAAGTAGAAAAGAATAAATATAAGGCATTGATTTATCATCATAAATTATGTAGATGATTTTGAATTTTATAGAATGTGTAATGCTAGATATTGTTATCATGAATGGATTGGAGTTAAAAGAACGGTTATATATAATACATATGAACTATTTAATGTTGGGTATCATGATTAAGAAGGAATTAGAATTGAAATAATTAAAGAGAGAGACGATACTGATAACAATCAGACTAGTAAATATGCCAAAATTTTCGATTCATATTAATCTTAAATATATTTATTCCTTGAACCGTTCATTTGTATAATTTTACAATATATAACGCTTTCAAATAAATATAAAAAAAAATTATTTATAAAATAAATAATTTTATTTAATTACATAAAAATTAAAATATTACAATGTAGTAAAACCCTCAAAATAAATGCAATACCTTAGTTTTCTATTACAGTCCCCAGGAAATTTTTTTTTTTATTCTTAGCAGTACCAACGCCATATTTATAGCATACCCAAAAATTATAGTCGCATTTTTCAATAGAGTTACCACCTTTAGTGGATTTTAAATGCCACCCAGTGCCTTTTTCATACTTAGCACACAAACCATTCTTGTAGTAAAACACAAGCTGTGTTGTCTATTAAGATTGCTTTCTTTAGCATGTTGATAACAATATCAAAAACTACATTTTCCAACAAAATTACCATCTTCAGCAGATTTTAAATAACATTCAAATGCCTTCTTTATATTTTTTTTTGGTGCCACTCTCATAATAGATTCTGTGATTCAATTTTCTATCAGCAACTAGTACTGTATTTTTGATTGTTTAAGTTTGAAGTTAGATCGCAATATGCACAGAAAAAAAATAAACTCTGTAAAGTAACAGAAGCAAGTAACTTTACCTTAAGTTTATTCTAACACCAAACAAGTTTGTCGATCTCGCGTATTTGGTTGAAGTAAATGAAAGCAATAGAAGGATTATTATAAGATCACCAACTTACCAATTCACCAACTCACCAATTCACCAACTCACCAATTCACCAACTCACCGTTTCACCAACTTACCATTTCACCAACTTACCAATTCACCATTTCACCAATTCACCGTTTCACCAATTTACCAATTCACCAATTTTACCAATTTCACCATTTCACCAAAGGTTTATTTTGGTGTAATTCTGGTGAAACTATTTCACTATTTCACCTGGTGAAATAGTCTAATTTCACCAGCATCTATAGTTTCAACCAAAGTTCTATCTCAGATTGTAATTCATACAAGTACCAGTTAGGTTTTTCTTTTATTAAAAATTGAAGATAATTTATATCATTCATGTTTAAAGACATGGTTTTTCTGAAAGCGATGGAAGTTTATTAATACAACTATATCTTTAAAAATGTACAAGAACCCAACTTATAAAAGATCTGCTAATATCTAAGTGTTTTGCAACTTTTCGAGTTGATAGGCCTTCTAAATTTTTTTAATAATTTGCTAGCAAATGTGGTTTGAAAATACTATATTTTTTGAATTCAAAAAGAAATGTGCATAATTTTATATTTATATTAGCCACCTGATTTTAAATTATATATATATTATAGTATTATATCAATTTTTATTATGCTGAAAAAATTACTGGTCGAAAAACAAGTTTTTTTATATTTTAGACCCGAACAAGTTTGCAAACTTCGAACCAAACCCAAACCAAACCTGTATTATGTTTGAGTTCGGTTTAAGTTTGATACTTTATGTTTGAGTTTGAGTTCGGGTCTGAAAATTTTAAAATTTATGGTTTGAGTTCGGGTTTGCATCTAGGTTCGGCCAGACCCAGAATTTAGAGCCCTACTAGTAATACAAATTGGCTCAAATTTTTATCAGAGATAGTATCGATATTTATCTATAATATGTAAAAATTTCAGATAATTTTATTTGGTAATTCCCAAGTAATCACTTGTATATGATAGTTAATATTTTTAAAACAATTAACTATCATATACAAGCAATTACTCAAGTATTACCAAACCAAATTGTTTAAAATTTTTATATATCATAGATGAATATCATTATTACCTATATACAAATTTTGGTCTAATTGGATTACTAGTTATTGAGATATTAATCGTCAAAGTTTGAATAAAAAAACAAATTTTTTAATTAACTATTATAAAATTTTTGCTATTTTTGCTCAAACTTTGATGATAGATATCTCAATAACTAATAATATAAATTGGCTTAAATTTTTATCATAGATAATATCAATATTTATCTATACTATATAAAAATTTTAGACGATTTGGTTTAGTAATCACAGGTCGAATGTATAACTATCAGGATATGCCTATATAATCCTATTATTATACTAATATGAATATCGGGCTAATTTAAAAAATATGATATGAGGAGGTGTGGCGGCTTAGTGAAGTGGTCAAGTCGTCACCCTCTCCAAGTAGCAGGTCTAGGGTTCAAATCTCACAGACGACGAAAGTTTGAAAAATAGGCTTGCATTACGGTAACAGATCTTCATTAAGTTGGGGCTTAGATTAACCTGTAA